GACGGGACAGAAACGTACGAGCCATCTGGAAGACAGTAGCCAAATTGAGACGCTTTCACGCGGCCGTTTGTGTGGCGTCGTTGATTTTTGGACTCACCCCCGCCCGGCTGCGAGTACTCATTGCAGGGAGAGTCGTCGGGGCGCTTGTAGTGCTTCAGCAAAGTGACGATGGCATCGTGACCTGGGGTGGGAAGCGGCAAAGAAAAGCACCATTGAGCAATTTTCCTTTTGTGACGGGGGTGGGGGGAGGGGGGTGCCAAGTGCATATGTTGAAATATAAAGTTCAGAAATCATCAAATGTGAATGTGAAGAATGAAATAAGCTTGGCCACATTTTTTTTTTTTGCTTCAATTCAATGGACATTGTGCCGCTCCTTCTGCAGTGGCACTAAACAGTTTGAGGGCGCTTTTTTTTCAAGAATTATATGCCAGACTGCTTCTTGTTGTGAAGTGAAGGTGCAACAGTTAATCGATTAATCGACAACTAATTTTCAAATTAGTCGCAAATGATTTTTTATATATATACTGTATATGTTTTTCAAATGCTTGGAATTTCAGCAGCGTATTTCCGTAGTCCTCCATGAAAGCAAACCGATTCTTTGTGTTACAGCAAAATAAAACATTGGCTTGTACTTCGGAAAACAACGATTTTTGCCTATTTTCTGACATGTTACGGAAGGGTCAGTAACTGAATCCTAATTTATGCTTGAGCAATTTATACACCGTTAGTTGGAAATAATGTCCTGTTATTTATTTTTTTTTTTTGAATAAAAGTATGTAAATTAAAACATGTATTTTTGAAAATCTGAATCATCGATTAATCGAAAAAAAAAAATCTACAGATTTTTTTTTTTTTTTTTAATCGTTGATTACAGCTCGATTGTGACGTGAGTTGATTTCACTGCGACCCGTACGGAGCTTGTCGACGGTCACCTTTCTCATAAGCCCACATGAGGCAGGTCTGCTCATCCTTCTCCCCGCTGGACCGGCTCGGATCGCAGGCCACCAGGTTCATGTCGGCCCCGTTGTCCAGCAGGAACTGCACCAGGCGGATGTGCCCGTGGAAACAGGCGCTGTGCAGGGCTGGAGGACAACATGGTGAACATCGTAGCCACGCAGCAAGGAATGAATAGTCAACCCACGTGATACTGTGGGGGTTTTTTGCGGGTTCTACTGCGGCATTATTACAAGCAAGAAGACGTGGCAGAGAAAAAAAAAAAATCACCTGTGTGTCCATCTCTGCCCTGATGGTTGATGCTCATGGCATTCTGGCTCAACAAAAACTTGACCATCTCCAGGTCTTTGCCATAGGTGCAAGCACTGAGACAAGACAGGAAACGCATCAGGACTTGGGGGGCCCGGCCGGGGCAGTCGCTATTTATGGAAAGACGGACAAAGCCAGAACCTGTGCAGTGACGTTTCGCTGAAAATATTCTCCTTGGTAAGACTCTCGGCACCAGAGAGCTGGATAATCTCCTTGACGACGTCGTATTTGCCATTGTAGCAGGCCCTGGGGCGGGAAGACGACACGTTAAACGGTGGGCTGCGGAGCAACGTGGCTAATCGAGAGCGGCGGCGGCGGCCACTTTACAGGTGTAACGGCGTGTCGCCGTAGATGTTGGTGGCGTGCGCCTGTGCGTCAAAGTTGCCCTGAAGGAGGAAGCGCACGACCTCAGAGTGGCCGAAGCGGGCGCAGAAGTGGAGCGGCACGTGGTCCTCGTTGTCCTGCGCGTTCACTGGACGCAGTCAGACATGCACATAACGTACACGCACACCAACACACACACACGGGCACACATTGCGTGGTACCTTTTAATATTAATATGAGTGTCATAATTTGTAACATTAAAGTGTAATGAAAAACAAAATACCGTTCGCTTTTCCCCCTTCCCCGACCAGAAGCGCAATGATGTCAAGGAAACCCTTGGCAGCAGCAAGATGCAGCGGACGGTCGCCCACCTCGCCGCTGGCGTTCACGTCTGCGCCGAACTTGAGCAGCAGTTTGGTGAGCTGGTAAGACAAGATCCAACAGAGAAAATGATTTCCTCACCGGTGAGCTGTCAGGAGTCGTCAGTACGGCACTCAGTGACATTTTTTCCAAATCATTCAGCCCTGAATGGACAGCGGTGAAAGACCTTGAACTAAAAATCGATCGGATTTACCTGCTCGTTGCCATTATAGGCGGCGATATGAAGCGGGGTGAAAAAAACAGCATCCTGGACATTAACGGAAGCTCCATGCTGGAGGAGAATATCAGTCGCCTGCGCACACACGCACGCACCCGCCCGTCAGCTAAACCGGCAAAAAAGGCCGCAGGTGAGTTCCTCTCGCCTTGGCGCTCTCTCACCTCCATGTGTCCGGCCAAAGTGGCGACATGAAGGGCGGTGAGGGCTCCGTAGCCCAGCTGCTGCACGTCCGAGCCCCCGTGGAGGAGGGCGGTGAGCAACTCGCCGTTGTCCTAACAGCCATGCAGCCAAAAAAAAAAAGCGACATGTCCACGCTTGTCCAGCTTTCGGGTAGAAGGACGTGCATTTTGGGTTCACCTTATACGCAGCCAAGTGGAGCGCGGTGAATCCATTCTTGGTCAGTCTGGAGGGACGGAGACCTTTGACCATCAAAGAGCTGATGTGTCCCTTGTTACCTGGACACGTACCCAGGAAAATATACCGTTGCAGAGTATATCAAAAAGTCTGCACATCCCTGTTAATAACCACATCTTACAATTGTCACGTCGACAAACGGCGTTGACAAATTACTACTTTCCTATTAGTCAGAGCACGCATGTTTTGTTGCATCTTGTGTGGTGACGCAAAGAGGACAAAAATATAGCAGAGGATATATTCTGTAGCAAAAAAAAAAAAAAAAAAAGCAATAAGTGAATATATGAATTGGCTTTGAACCGGTGCGACTTTAAAACCGAAAGGTTGTCCTCAGATAAGTCGCGACTAATCTGTCCTTCCACTCCAACATAGTGTTTTGTTGACAAGTTATTAATAGAATGTGGCGGCCCTGCATACCTTTGCACACGCAGCAGAGATGCAGCAGCGACAGGCCTTTCTCTGTCCGGTAGTTCAAGTTCACCTTCTGAAACGCCTCGTCGGAGCTGAGTCACAGAGGGGAGACGTTTTTTTTTTCGTTTTTGAAGTCAACGTTGCCCGGCTGTGAAGCCAGCCAGGAAAGTAGGCAAAAACAGACGACCTGAATGCAAGTTTGAGGTCCACGAGCTCGCTGTCTTTGAGCTGGAGGTCATCTTCCAGCTTCTCCAGAATCACAGAGTACGACTCGCTCACCTTTTTCTTCCATTCATCTTAAGACAAAATGACTTTGTCATCTGTTATTCGGAGCGTGTACAGGTTTATGACATATTAAGAAAAATAAATAAACCAGACAAATAATTATACATTTCCAAGATGAATGTAGTTAAAAATAATCAACAAAGAATTTAAACTGGGGATGTAGCAAAATTAAGCAATTAAAAACTCATGGTAAATGCCATTTAACGTGCCTCAGACTAACCCCAAATAAAGCTCTGATGTTCTAGTAGGATTTTCCCAACAATTTTGTCACCACATCTAACCCATTTTGATTTCTTGGCTTTTGACACAGCTGGAAACCCTGCCTCGTTTTCGTGTCTTATTTACGTTTTTTTTTTTGTTTCTAAATGACGTCACGTTCAATTAGCTTGCGTTCAATTTGCATTTATGGGCAATACTGTACTTTCTTTCCGCTGCCACTGTGGTCATTAAATAAAACCGAGTCGCGCAGAGAGAAACATTCATTCACATTCACACCTATGGGTTTAGAGTTGGTAATGAACCTAAGAAGCAAAGAGTTTATCAAATTTTAACCGTGATCACGATTTTTGATGCTGCAATCAATTGTTTGTCGCCAAATTTTACATTTAAAAGGCTGCCAACCTCATGAAGCGCTTACTCAAATAGTAGTCAGCCAACCACCAGGGGGCGATAGCACCCGCCTCAGTTATGGCTAGAGAAGAAAGTACAGCAAAAAAAATAAATTGGAGAAGAGAATCATTGCGGTGAGGTGTTCGTGCCCCAAAAGCGATCATCATCCGTTATTTGGACTTATTTCAGATTTAGGGAAAACTACAAGTGAACAAGATAATAGCATATTTGTTCAGTGAGCCCTGAGTAAATTCTTGTCTATTTTTTAACAAATTATCTTTTATTTGAAAATGATAATCCACTGCTTTCATTTTGTGCTGAAAACTGTTGACTTATCGGATTGTTGAAAAGCAGTAGAGTAAAAATTCAGCTGTTTCCACGATGAATAAATCTAAATAAAATCGATCGAAATAATTGTGATTATCATTTTGGTCATAATTGTGTACCATAAATTAGGAATGTGGGCGGGAACCTCAAGTACAGGGACGATAAGCAAACCCCACACAGGAAGGCCTGAGCCTGGATCTGACCCTGAGCCTCACAACTGTGTGTGGCAGACCAGTCAACCACTCATCCACTGTGCTGCCATTGTAGAATCAATCATATCCTCAAAAACACAAAATCTCTCACCCGCCAGTCTTGTAATGTATTACCTGTACACGTCTGCGATGGTCTGGATTTGTAGTTCCCCATTGATGAGTCAAGTCGTGTATGTGGGTAGCGAACAGGCCGTCAGTCATACAATCGCTCCCCTCGACCACAATTGCACACGTCCAGATAAAGAAGGGATCATGGCGGCAAGCTAAAAATAAGAACAGCCAAACAAACTCTGACAACTGATCTCCCTTCATCGCCGTGACACGTGAGTGTGTGTGTGTGTGTGTGTGTGTGTGTGTGTGGGCATGACATAGGTACTCCTTGTATTGTGAGGTCATATTTCAATTTCACCGTGGCTAGGGTTCTTACTTTCAACACCTGGATTTCCCCATCTCTGGATATCTGTGGTCGGGGGCGTCAGCTGTACAAAACAGACAAATGCCCTTTGGTGTGTGCATAAATGATCTCGCCGAAGGACACTTCAGTCAGACACCAGCCCTCAGGTTGCGTTTGAGCCGTCTCCTTGCATTCAAGAGTTTATTCAATTATATGTCTCATGAGCCTCAAAGTGCTTGTCCCGTCTCTCGTCGACTAACATTTTTCCCTTGAGACTCGCCTCTTGCCCAAAGACTGCAGTTCACCTACGACTCCGAAGAGGACAAGCGGTCGAAAACGGATAGATTCGAACTCAACGAATGAACTCATAACCGCTTCATGATCTCTGTGTGATGTCATCATAGAGCCCCTTTCTGAAGTCCAGCATCACCTGCAGGTTCTTCCACTGCAGAGCTTCGTGCACGGATATTCGTTCGACGTCCTTGGGTAAGGGGCAGGCGCTTCCGCCCAGGACGGCTCGCAACATGTCGAGCGTCGCGGAGAACGAGCGTTCTTGGTCCTCGCAAACGGGAAACAAACAAGCGGTCCACAAACTACAGCCGGACGCATCGTCGGAGAACCGCAAGTCACGGCGGTCCAGTCCCCAGAGGGACACGCAGGCTTCAAGAGTCACGCCCAAAAGAGTCAACGCCTCCATGGAGGCGGAAGCTGTCACGCAGCTTTTCAAGTCGTCGTGAATTCCGAAGGCGACGGTTACAAAGCCAGTTTTGTCCCGATGGGTCACGCACAGCGAATGCATGAAGACCCCATCAGGCACCGAGGCACCGGGACCGACCCAGCAGCTGCTGATCACTGAATCCCGACCGACTGACACGCCCTCTCCCAGTCTGGAGTACTCCAGCACCGATCCGGCCCCCACAGAACAACTTGGACTCAGGACGCTGTGCATCACGCAGAACGCCGCATCTGGCTTTGCATTCGGGTGCACACTGAATGCAGAAGGACGGAGACCCAGCTGGCTCTTCAGAGCATCATCCCCGGTGAGGTGGAAGAGGTATTCCGTCGTGGTCCCGATGTGATAAAACTTGGAGTTATTCAGTAGGATCACGTTAAGCGGCGTCCCGCGAAGAATCCGGAAAATCTTCTGGCGGATTTCCACCAGACCGTCGTTCTCTTTGGTGACGTTAGCCGTGTTGCGGGTATATTCTACGGAGGCCAGCGGGCCTAACGCCTGCAGGAAATCGCCGTACGCGTCAATCTCGCACTCCAACGGTCCGACCTCCCCGAGCACGCCGAGGAGACGCTGCGACGTATCAAAGTCCACATAGTAGGTGCTGTCCGTGTAGACAAACTCGGCGTCAGATAGAGGAAAACAATCGCTCGTCCTTTGACAAACGGCGCCCATGTTTCGCATCGTAGCAATGCTTGGTTTGTGAAGGAAGCGCAAGCAGGTTCGGTTTTCCATTTCAGACCATTCGGAGTCCTCACGCGGCTTCAAAACAAACACGCCGTGGGTGGTGCCGATGGAAAGCGGGGAGGGGTGGGCTAAAGCCGTAAAGCCCGGCTTGTCGAACGCGACGCTCTCGTGCCCGGCGACGCTGTAGAGCTCGATGTCGTCGGCGCAGGTTACCAGCACGCCGGGCTTCATGCGACAGGGGAAATCCACATACGTGGCCAGTTTGAGCTCCAGCATCTGGTAGAGGGGCTCACCCAGCGGCATGGCGGTGAAGATCTTCCCGAGGGCACTGGCACTGGGCAGGCGCTGACTCCAGCCACCTGGGGGAACATTCAACAATCAAAAACGGTTCACTTTCTTGCGGGGAAGAGTCATTAGACATGACGAATCCAGTGGCGGGTCGTGCATTTGGTACCTCCCATGGATCAATACACAATTACGCAACATGTTCGATGTGTTGCCCGTCCGTGATCTGTTGATGTTTTTTATTTTGTTTTTTTCAAGCACTTACAGCAAATAGGCTAGGTCTTGTCAAAGTGGGTAGCCGAAATGCTCCAATATTGCCCGAGGAAGAAATTAATCTTCAATCTACGATTTGGATGGACGGGAGGTTACATTTTAGATCCAGGTACAGCAGGGGTGTCAAACTCATTTTAATCGCGGGCCAATTTGGAGTTATGTCTTCCCTCGGAGGGCCGTTACGACAGAGAAACCACAATTTTTTTACTTGTACACAATAAATGAATAGATTACTAGTTTTGAAATCAGTCAAGTCAATTATAATACTGTAGTTAGTGCAATTATTGTTCAAGTGAGTTTAAACCGGGTAACAAAATTATTGCGAAATCCCAACGTTATTTATTACACATGACAATTTGACATTTCGGTTCAGATTTTAACAAGTTTGCACACATGATTTGCTTTTGCGGGCCTCATAAAATGACCTGGCGGGCCGGATCTGGCCCCCGGGCCTTGAGTTTGACACCAATGAGGTACAGCAACAGATGGATTTTTTATTTTTTTTTTCCTGAAACTTCCAAGTTATAAATTACACCATCTTGCGCAAGCTTTTATACTGTTGGTCAAAAACACATACACACAAAAAAAAAAGAAAATATCTCAAAAACCTGATGTGCTTGGAAAAAGTAAAGGCATTTTTTAAATAAATACATTTCGGAATACAGAAAGACATCCCTGATTAAAATGAGCTGCTGACGAGTGGTATTGAATGCGTTAACGTGTACGATCACTACAGACGTACTTGGTTAGTCGCAGTTGGCCGGAATAAAATTTTGCTCCGACCGAGCGATCAATCAGAAGATGGAAAAATGCTGACGTCATTGAGGCCTTGTGAGGCTAAACTTTGATTCTAATTGGTAAAAGAAACATTGCAGTTGCTAATATAGTTCAAGTTACCTCAGCACTACCGATTCTGAAGGCCCTGAGCAGATTATGGCACAGAGGTTAAATTTTTAAGCCCACAGAAGAAGGCCCACATGACTGCCCACCACTGGATTTCTCGCCCAACCTGCATGGATCAGGATGACTCTCATCCTGCAAAGAGTCTTGCCATGGATGTCACTGAGGCGCTGGAGAGCGTGCAGAGTGGAGCCGCCGTTGCCTAAAGTACACAAGTAACGTCCCTTTCAGTTTGTACAAAATACAAATCAAAACAATCTCAAGTCCACTGAAGACTTTTGTGAGTATTAAATACAAACATTCACATCAATCGAGCACACTCACCTATTTTACACCCGGGTGGATCCGAGAAGACCATATAGTGAACTCCAAGCGGGAGTTCTTTCCGGTCCACTTTCAACCTAATCTGAAGCTCATAAGCATCTTTCTGCTTCTCGTCCGCCGCAGTCACGACCACCGTGTCCCAAAACTCACCGCGTGCGACCTCTCGACCTTGAGGTAGATCACAAGGCAGAATGTTATTGGCATATCATCAACCCGTCGTCTTGCTTTGGTATTTTGGCATCCGTAGTAGGTCTGTGTGTAAACTATCTAACCGGCATATTTAGTCACCTCTTTTCTAGATGATTCCATTGATATCAGTGTAACTTTCCCACGGAAAATAATAACGTTATGACTGCGTAAAAAAACGATTGTGGACAAAATCTTCATGCGAAAGAATTTGAGATTTTAGTGAAAAAAAAATATAAGCCATCCTGTCAGACAAGTGACAAGACACAACCCCCCATACAAAAAAAAAGAAAAGAAAAATGTGTTTGTAGTTTGACAGACAACGATGTGGTCCACGATGAAAACGCGTTTGAGATCGCTTCATCTAAAACACACTTTAAATTATGATAGAGAAGCTTATGGGGAAACTTACCGCGCAAACAGTTGAATTTTCTCAGTTTTTCTGTAGTTGCCATTTGCAACTTTCGGGCACAGTCTTGATTGACGTTGTTAGCTCCCGTGTCCATTTGTTATGCGTTAAATGTATCTTGATATCAAGCCTTAACTTGAGCTCGCCGACCACTTTCTGTTTGACTTCCTGGTTTTTCCGTCACGTGACCGTGCTTTGCCGCTATCTTCCCAAATGCAAACGTTGATTAAAATGACCTGCGTAAAAACAAATGACCGTGGATTTTTGATAATTAACTATTTCAGAATATTTTTTTAAATAATAAATTTTACTTCAAGCGACCTTATTTCACCAAGGCAAGAAATACACTGCTAATGCGTCATTGTTTATGTTATTATTATTTTCATTAATCTTATTGTTAATGTCGGTGGTATTTTAACGGACACATACCACAGACATTTTATGAAGACGACACGGAACTGTTTTAAATTGTGAAAAAAAAACTGAATAACATGTCTTCTTTTTCTTAATACTGTCTTCTTCTTCTTCTTCTCCTTTCGGCACGTCCCTTTTCAGGGGTCGCCACAGCGAGTCATTAATTCCCGTCCGTCCCTGCAAACCGCCCTATCAACTCGCATGTCCGTCTTGGCAAAAGTTTTATGCCGGATGCCCTTCCTGACGCAACCCTCCCCATTTCTCCGGGCTTGGGACCGGCACCGGGGAACAGTGTACCCCCAGGGGAGGGCACTGCTCCCCAGCGGCTGGGTTTTTTTTCTTAATACTGTACTAATACAAAATAAGTACAGTAAACCCTATTGACCAAATTATAACACAACAATAGGCAAAAATCTGCCTCGGTTAGACTCGTGGGGGCACATATAACAACCTTTTTGCCTTTAGTTCCCTTGCAAATGAAAGTACAAAATAATTCACGTCAAGGTACCACTGGATACTGTACTGTGATGTGAAGTGACCATGCCAGCTGCGACGGACAGACAGGTGCAATATGCCAGGCAAAGGCACCCAAAATTCCCAAAATAGCACAGAGGGAGCCCGGACCGCTGTGCCACCAGACCAGACACCCTCACAAAAGTGACAAGGGCAAATTCATTTCCCGAAGAGCCTTTTGTGCCTCGCCACTGTTTCAGATTTAATAGGATCCCACTGCAAAGGTAAAAAGTGGAAGCCATGTGGCTTCAACATGACAACAATACAGCTTGTCTACTGTTTATTGTTGCAGTGTATCAACACAGCATCTCAGGAGAGCTACTCATGCTCAAACTAAACACACGTGCCAGTAACAAGCACAAACAGAAATTACAGAAATTGTCCGAAAAAATAAATGTAATAGGAAAATATAATCTACTGGATTATTCATTCTTGCGCAATTTCAATTTTCCAGACTTCCACTCGGTTGTGATGAAACGCTTAAGACATTAAGGGTTTCATCACGAGGTAACATCCTCGTGCAATCTTGCGTAATAACTTTTGATCCTATGCCCTTGAAACAAGTACCAGGTTTGACCACACACACGTTGCATTTCCATGGCCCTTTACGACAAATGCCCGCAACACGGAGGGAAAAAAAGTCAAAACCGTGAAAAAAAAAAAATCCCACTGTCACACATGCGTATCACAAAACCACAATATGAATGCAAAAGACAGAATATTACAGTTCCTTTGGCAGAGGAGGCATATTTGCTGCATTTTTGGTCTGTGGAGCTGAAGTGGCCGAGCTGTCCTTATTGGCCTCAAGGAAGTCACTGCAGGCGGAAAAAGCGCTGGAAAAAGAGGAGGAGAGTCCAACAATGTCTGTCGAGATGTAGGGAAGAACTCCTGGTGTGGCCTGATTGTAGTAGGTGACCTGAAAGCCAACATATGGTAACCGCTGGTGAGAAGTCACAAAGTGCAAACACTTACGAGTAGATTTTTTTAGGCACTTAGTCATTTTTTCTGACAACGTTTTAGTTTTAGTTCCTATATTTGAAAACAGATATATGTACTTTTGAATAGCCAGGGAGCATTAATGAATGCCTCAATCAGATTTGGATTTTTGCCTGTTTTACTGCCACAAGTATTTTTTCCTTGCCTAGAGCAGAGGACGTCATTGAGTTATGTGGACTATGGGCCTTGTGAAGCCCTTTGACACCCTTTTGTGATTAAGGGCTATATAAGTCAACGTGACTTGACTGGACTTATTTAGGAGATTTGGTTCATGTGGTCTGCTAAAAGAATGATTTGTGGCAAATGCAAACACCACCAAATTTCTCTGTCTAATCTGAAAAAAAAACCCCACGTAATTTGTATTTCTTTTCCACTTGTCATTCATTTTTAAAAAAGGCTAAATTAGCAACAGTATGTCCTTTGGTTTTGTTGGACCTGTTGGGTTGGCGACTTAGGGGGGTATTCGAGGGCAAAGCCCCCCGCCCCCCAAAATAAGTTTTCCTCCACACCTTGAAATGTAGCTTCACTTTATATTTTGTTTTTAAATCTATGTTTGAAAGGTCCAGCTGATTCAGCTGGCATTTAAGAGACACAACACGAAAACGCCCACGAAAGTTGGATATCATTGCGTCCAGACAAATGTACATATTCCTTTTTATCCACATTTTTGGCTATTACAAATCCATAAATACATTTCAGAATACGTACTTTTTCTACTCAAGTAAAGGAGTCAATAAGTACTTCTATTTTTTTTCTACACAAGTATCACCAGTTAAAAGTATACAAAATGAGATGTTAATAAACCGTGCAGATATGCGGGTGAGCAAAACACTGGCAAATGTAGAACCTTGGTGACAGCGCTGGACTCCTCCAAGATTGTGAAGCCGGCGCAGAGAACCTCTCCCCTGTTGTAGTCCACAGTTGGAGGGTGAGTGGGCAGTGTGACAGAGCGTAGGGCGATCAGATATGGGTCCCTACAAGAAAAAGAAAACCAATCTATCAAGCATTTGCATATTAATGCCTTCTAGCCATCCATAACACAACATAACATATATTTTATGCATTCTACATTCATATTTCATTGTATCAAACATAGAATAACACTCCAAACATTATTAAATGGAATTAAAAAAATTAAAAAACAATTTGTGCATCATGATTCATGCTTCGATGCCCATTGATATTGTGCTGCTCCTTCTGGTGTACACGCCTTGGCCACAGGGTGGCAGCATTAAACATACCAAATAAGAAGACGGTCTCTTCAAAGCTCAGTTAGCTCTGACGTCGGATTAGCTAATGTGTGAGCATTTTTGCATCACGTATAAAACTGCGTCTCTCCTTGCTAACATGCGAGCATTCCAGTACTTCAACTGCGCCCAATTTTTATGACGTGATCTGTGTCACAACATACCTGACATCACATGGTTTCCGACAAGACGCCAGCAAGATAAAGTCCTGACCTTTGCCCCCTTTTCGGATGGAAGGCGTCCTGACGCGATAAATGGTGTCGTCTTCGTCCGCTTTCATGATCGCCTCACACGCCCTGTACGAGAGGAGATGTGTTTACGATGTAACATGATACAGATGTTGTTGACAGCAGCGATGGGAAGTAAATACCGTTCGATCGATACGGATTCTGATATTTGGCAGATGAAGAAATTGACTGACTGATAATGGCGGTCCCACTCTTTTCTCCTCCTGAGGTCGGAGAGGAGGTGGAACGTCTGCTCGGCTGAGACGCTCACGTTCATCTCCACTTTGAAGCACAGCGTCTGGTTCTCCTCCAGCGTGTACAGTCTGACCTCCAAAAACGATTCGGATGTATCATGGTTACTTTAGCCAATTGAAACCCATAAAACAACCTTTAAAAAAAAAAATCCTCGTTATGCCCTGCATTGATCAAAACGACACCTGAAAATCAGATAACATCACTTATCAATTTTTGGACAAAAAGAGAAATTCCATGAAAATTTTCCAAAAGCGGTATTGAACGGCTTATCCACTGGAGAATAATGAAGGATGCCAAAAATGGCCAATGAACACGCTGAAAGGGGAGAAAATTCGAACGAGGCCTGAGGGTTAAATCACCAGTCATACTCACTTTGTTTTTTTCCGAGGTCAACACCCAGTTGTTTATGGTGTCCATCAGTTTCAGAGCGGAGACATTATTGTAGCTCAAGTACATCTGGAAAAGCAAAGGAGGCAATAAAGCAGGGTTTTCAAAAACATTTTCTTTCCAGGACACGGTGGGGTTCACCAAAGGGGGCCATTATGGAAAATGTCATCATTGTATGTCTTCGGGCAGTAGGCGGGGGACACCCCGAATCGGTTGCCAGCCAATCGCAGGGCACACAGAGACGAACAACCATCCACGCCCACACTCACACCTAGGGACAATTTTGAGTGTTCAATCAGCCTGCCATGCATGTTTTTGGAATGTGGGAGGAAACCGGAGTACCCGGACAAAACCCACGCAGGCATAGGGAGAACGTGCAAACCCTACACAGGAAGGCCGGAGCTAGAATCGAACCCGGTACCTCCGCAATGTGAGGTCGATGCTTTAACCACTCGCCCACCAGGCCGCGGTTAAAAAAAAAAAAAAAAAAAACAACTATGGGGAGGATTGGGACAGCCCCCTAAACCATTATAAAGTAAAGTGTACATGTGGAGGCAATCTCCAGTACCTCACAAGCTGTGTCTTTAGAATGACTCATACCTGGTTACTTGGATCCCAGGGTACAGACAGGGGCACTTCATTTTGCTTGCAGGAGATGATGTATTTCCTGCAGACACAAGCGA